AAAAAATTTACTTCTTCAGTAAAACTAGCACTCAAAACTCATTCCTTTTCTATGGCCCCAAAATATTCAATACTCTGCCTATAAACCTGAAAACGAGTCGAAATTTTGAAAAGTTCAAAAAAGTAAAAATATCTAAAAAGTAACTCAAATAAATTTCCAACAATTTTCTGACCGTTCAAACTTCTGAATATTGTCTGTATCAAAAAATATTCAAAAACAAATAAAACAAAAAGAAGACATATTTAAAAAAAAACAATTTTAGGGAATATTTTGAGACAATTGATTTTTATGTCTAATTAGGAATATAACCAATACAAAATTGAGAATTTATGAATTATTTAATAACTGATATTTCCTAAGTTCCAATCGTATTTCAACATATGGCAACTATGCTATGGTCTGTTCCTACTTACGAAATCGTGACGTCAGTTTTTACTAGCGGTAAATTCTTAGCCGTTTGAAAATTACCGTGGCATTATTGTTGATCTCAGCACCTCAAAATCGTGTGGATTCTAAATTCGATTTATATATTTAGTTTTGTTGAGAAATATGAATCGATTATACACAGTGGTTCAAAAAGTCATGACCTGACCTCGGACCTGACCATAGATGAAGATTTTGCCAAAATCAAGATTCCGTTCTGTATCACAGTTATCGAAGATGGTAAATTCTTAAAAGATACAGTTTCGAACAGGAAGCACGAAAATCAGAAGAAAGTGTTCCTTGATCGGATAAAATACAACAAACGGTACGAAACATACAGGGTATGTCAAAACGAGCTTACACTATCTCTATATCGAGAATCAGTCGGGAGAAATCCATGAAAATATGCATATGATCAGAATTCTGAATCTTGAACCACCCTGTATCTGTTCCGATTAAATCTCAGTAAATAGTGAAACAAAAGTTGAGATAGGCACATGTGAGCCGTTTTAACCGATAATGAATATATTCGACACAAAAAAAATTCCTAAAGTTGAAAAATATCGATTTTGAACACCCTATATATCTGTAATTATTTTCGAAAGACCCCAAGCACAGTTGAGAGTATGATATATCGATGAAATCAGCGTTCCGTTCGAACAATCAATGTTGCTACTACTTTCTAGTAGAAGCGGCAACACTGCATTGTCGAACATATCTCAATGAAAAGAGCGCATACCAAAATACAGGGTGTTCATTTCAGGACTTCCCACCCTAATTTTCTCGAAATGTGTGTATGTTTTTGAAAAATCCCGAGACACGTCAACTACATTTTCGAGGGGGACAACTTTGCTATTTCAAATGGAACACCCTGTATTTTATTGCATTTTTAGATTCTCCCTGAAAAGCTGATTTCATCAATGTATCACACTTGGGGTCTAGCAGGAATGATTACAGAGATATAGGGTGTTCAAAATCGAGATTTTACAACTTTAGGATTTTTTTGAGTCGAAACTATTCATTATTGGTCAAAACGGCTCTTGTGTCCCTATCTCAACTTTTGATTTACTATCTACTGACATTTATTTGAAACAAATACAGGGTGGTTCAAGATTCAGACTTTTGATCACCCCGTATTTGTTTCAAATAAATGTCAGTAGATAGTAAATCAAAAGTTGAGATAGGGACATGAAAGCCGTTTTGACCAATAATGAATAGTTTCGACTCAAAAAAATCCTAAAGTTGTAAAATCTCGATTTTGAACACCCTATATCTCTGTAATCATTCCTGCTAGACCCCAAGTGTGATACATTGATGAAATCAGATTTTCAGGGAGAATCTAAAAATGCAATAAAATACAGGGTGTTCCATTTGAAATAACAAAGTTGTTGCTTCTTTTCGTTAGAAGCGGCAACGCCGCGGGGCTGAAAATATTTTAGAACCATATGCCCCCCTCGAAAATGTAGTTGACGTGTCTCGGGATTTTTCAAAAACATACACAAATTTCGAGAAAATTAGGGTGGGAAGTCCTGAAATGAACACCCTGTATAAGCATGCACATTTTCATGGATTTCTCCCGACTGATTCTCGATTTAAAGATAGTGTAAGCTCGTCGTGACATCCCTGTATATAGGGTAATGAAGTTGAATGAATACAGAGAAATATGAGGAAAAATTGAGAGAATTTCTTTGCACTCACCAGCGTGGAAAAAGTGAGGCTTTGATGAAACAACACGAAACACTAGAACAACACACGATCCCGATATTATTATTATTGAATCGAATGAGGGATACAAAAACACTATATACGAATCAATACGATCACTCAGTTTTTAGGAAACACTCAGTTTGGAACGATAAATAATTCCTTACGCGTATTTTTCGATGTCGATCACAAAATTCGCGATTCGACCATACGTGATGACATCTAATATAAGACTGTCTCGATTTACCACCTGGTCCCGAATGAATGACTAATAAGTTGAATCATGTTGATTCATGCTGCTAACCGATTTATTTCCGAACAAAAAATGATTTATCTATAATCTATGACTAATGATGATAATGGAAATTGATATTTTGTATACAGGTGCTATTTTTTTTTAAAATCACTAACGATATGGAAGAATTTTACATAGGCTGAAAATATATTTTTTCCAAAAATCTCGTGATTATGGAAGAACTTAACATACAATATGTAGTGAAGAGATCGAACCCTTTCCATTACCAAGAAATAATTTACCACAGTGACATATAGGCAAACAATTTTCGTTTTAAAAATATTGGTCACACGTAGTGGAAATAACTACTCTCAGATTTCTAGATGTATCTAGTGGTATCGGCTCAAAATACCTAACAGATTATACTATCACTCTTAATGAAAAAATCGAAGAAAAACTCACCAGCGTGAAAAAAGTGAAAAATGATTTCTGCAATTCAAACAGAAAGCAAGAACATCAGAAGTAAGTATATATTCCTCGATCGGAAAAAATACAAAAAACGGTACGAATCATATACGGGGTATGTCACGACATCTCTATATCGAGAATCAGTCAGGAGAAATACATGAAAATATGCATGCTTATATTTTAGAATACGCGCTCTCTTCATTTAAAATAATTCCAGCAATGCAGTGTTGCCGTTTCAATCAAAAAGTAGCAACAATTTTGTTATATCAATAAATAGAATATACCCTGATGCATTTTATTGCATTTTTTGATTCTTCCTGGAGAGCTGATTTCATCAAAACATCAAACTTGGGGTCTATATCGGGAATGATTACAGAGATATAGGGTGTTCAAAACCCAGATTTTTCACCTTCAGGATTTGTTTGTGCCGAAACTATTCATCATTATCGGCCAAAACGGCTCACATGTCCCTATCTCAACTTTTCATTCACTATTTACTGATATTCAATCGGAACAGATACAGGGGTGATCGGAATTCTAAATCTTGAACCAGCCAAAACGCCCAACGACCCCTTGCCCCTCGCCAGTCACCAATGTACTTTACTTGTAAGGAAAGACATTACTTTCGATTGTGAAGAAATGACGAGAACCAACTAAGACATTCGCCTCTTATTCCATCCATTTCTAATTTCGACCTTAGTTTTTGATGGTTGACACTGCTGAGTTGACACAGTCGAAAGCTCGACTAAGATCACAAAGAATAATTACCGCTGGACATTCACCTGAATCAACGTATTCTATGGTTTTGTTCAGTAATGAGAATAACATAGCTGTGTTCTTAGATTTTTCAGGACGAAATCCATGCTGCCTATTACTCAAGACAGAATGTTTATCAAGAAACGAAAAAAGGCATATTCGAAAACTTTCGAGAATCTACAAGGGACTGTTACAGGACGATAATTTGCCACAAGCGTTGTGTCGTTGTTTTTGAAAATAGGAGTGACTTTTACCTGTTTTTAACTTGTGTGAAAAATGGTAATATTATCAAAGTAAGAACTCTTTTCAATATAAGCATCGGTATGTCATCTGGACCAGACGATTTTTTTATTCTTTAGTTTGTTTTTTTCAACAATGAGAGTAATTATGTTCCGTTAATGGGTTCAAAAACATTGTGTAAGGGTTTAAATCCTTTTCATTATCAAATACCCCATTATTACTTGGAGGTTTCTGTTTAACCAATTCGATAGGAGCCTTAACGAAAAAATCATTGAACTTGGAGGCAATAGTGCCAATTGAGATGATTATAATAACACGGTCTCCGAGAATGAAATGAAAGAACTGCAAGTCAATTTATACTTACTCCATACACACAAGTCATAATGTCATAAACACCAAACACCCTGTATCTCATGAATCGTGTTCCGAATGTAACCGGTAAATTCTGTTTTTTCAGACAACCGCTGTCCGAATTCATGGTTAGTACCAATGACGGCTAAATGGACTGTCTGACGGGTTATATATGACTGTTCATTCAGCGAAAATCACCAAATCGCCCTGTAATGTAGTACCAAATGTACCAAAGAATATCTCTTTGGTAGTACTCGTCAGACAGTCCATTTAGCCGTCATTGTACCGGTTAACCGGTTATGAGTAGGTGACATTCGGAACATACCCTAAGTTTGCATTTTTTTCAAAATCAAATCACTGACAGATATTCGATTACATGCCTGTTCGTTAGTATTGCTGAACTTGTTAAAGTTGATTTTTTCCCATGGTTGTCTCTGTTCATGTCATGATGTGAACAGAAAAAGTCATAGAAAAAAATCAAGTTCAGCAGGTAGAGAAAGCACAAACGAACAGACCTTACTAGTCGCGGAATGTACGTCCAGTGGCGGGCGAATATCTATTTTTTTGAATCTCGGTGCACACGAAGGGAAATCCCTTCATACTTCATATTCTTATGATCATTATATTATTTTCAGATTATTATCATCTTCCATCTCTGTTCATTTCATGCGATGAACATTACACAGTGATAAATTATTAAACAAATTCAAATACAAGCTTAGCAGCACTTGCAATAATGGCAACTAAACGAACAAACCTAAAGTAATGTCAATTGTCAAACCACAGAATTCATTTTACTTCATTTTCTGTCATCTGTTGATGATTTATTTAATGTTTGTGTTGTTCTGTCAAATATTTGAAAAAATTATGAATCGTATTATTTGTATTTCTTTCGTTTGTATTTTTTTTTGAATTTACGTAGGTCACTCGTACTTTTTGGTTGATTTGCGAAGACTTAGGCCATTGCAAACGAGCATGTCGATAAATGTCCACGTCACTGGAAATCCCATAAGCATCAAAAGAGGAAAAATGGTTACAACAGACCTAGATCAAACTAAAAAAGAATTTGATAAGCGGCGCCTTATGAGGTTAGAACAAGTCAGGCAACAATCAAAAGATATAGCTGAAGACGTGCGAAACAAGGTCCGCCGAGAAAAATCAAAACAAATGAAACAGATTGAAAAAGAGGGTGAAGCCAAGCTCAAGAATTGGCAGAATAGGAAGCTCTTGGAGTTGCAGACTCAGTATGAAGAAGCTCTGAACGAGTTTGGTTTAGCTCATCATCAAGCTGATGTCATACGTAATGAATCTGAACTTATAGCTCAACACAGAGAAGCTAATGAAACCATTTCACAAGAGCGAGGCAAGGTAGCTATGACAAAGGCCCAGCAAAGAAAAAATGAAGAGAAATTAAAGAAGAACACTACTGTAGATAGAAAAAAGATAATACGAAACCTAGAGGATACTAGGTCTGCTATGGTTAGCAAGATGTCAAAGAATAAACCTCAACAAGATGAGTCTCACATCAGGAGAAAAAAGCCAAGAGCATCTGCTGATATTAATATTACAATTCCTGACTCTGATAGTACAAGCCAAAGCCAGATTGAAGGAAATGATGTTCAAGAGCCTTCAAGCTCTTGTGATTGTACTGATGTCTCAGAATATCAAAGCATGCCTCAAGGTGCTTTTGAAAGAAGTGATTATGGTGAGTCATAAAGCTACAGGAGTTGAAATCAATTATATGCAAACATTTTTCATAATCTGTTTTCAAAAATGGGTATGACTCATGATACATAAGAACTGTTATTATCTAGTACAGCTTGATATGGTACTGTATCATCAAATAAATTTCAAGTGAAGAAAGTTTTCATTCATTTTGTTTATCATCTCTCATATTTTATCATTTCAAAGGAGAATTAGATTAATTGGCTTCAATTTTCATTGTACATGCTGGGTTCATAGATTCAATTAGACTAACAATTAGGAATTAACTATTTTAACAATCAACAATTAATAATCCTGAGGGTGAACAATACATATCTGATAATTATTACGAAGTAGATGTGAAATGTCTTTTGATTGTAGATCAAAATGATGTTGAAAAGTGATTTTGGTCTGCACAGTTCATGAATCTTTAAAAAATATTCAAATTAAATATCACCAAACTCAAACTCCACTTGAGCAATAACAAATCCCATCCTTATGTTCTGTCTCCAGAATTTCCTAGTTCTTAGTTGTTAAGTTGAATGTTGGCCAACTCTGTAACTCATAATTCTTAATTTAATTGACAGATGTAAATGTATAAACCCTCATAGATGTTTACATGTATTCAACCTTTTGAGTTTATAGTTGTTACTTTAATTCTTAGTTTAGTTGAATCTATAAACCCAGCATCATTTGAAGTTTTCATGATTGTTATTTGTGTTCTTATTATAAATGTTGAAACTTTCAAGTTATATAATATAATTTGTAGTTTCAAGGGGACCTAGTTCAGATCTGTTAAGGAACCATCAGAAAACTCATCAATATGTGTCCCAAGATGTGCCTCCACAATCTAGAAAGAGCTCATCACCACCTAGAAGAAAATCTCCCAAAAGGAATAAGACCCCAACTTTGGAAGAACATCACTTGCCACCAGAGTACAAATCTCATTCCAAATCACCCCCATGTCAGCAGAAGTCAGCTTATTCTCCACCAAGAGACACCAGGATATCTGAACGCATAAAGCGTAGGGAACTGATGACTTCCCAAACTGATTACTGTGCTACTGTGGCTGAAACCCAGCCCATACCCTATGTAGAGAGTAATACAAAAATTCAAGATGCCATTGATGCAAGGGTGTACAAAAAAACAGGCTCTAGGGGCTGTGACCCAGCTTGTTCTTGTGGAATCAGTCATGAAGGTGTTGAGATGGATGAGAGATTAAATATATCACCCCACCCTGATTGTATTTGCAGAAAAAACTTCAAGAAGTATCAACCAGAGAAAGATACACAGGCTACACAGACTAGTCAAAATGAATTAGGCAAACAATCACAACAGTTTGAAGAGATCCCAAGGAAGCCAACTGTGAAATTAAAATCATCCCATGTGGATAATAATCTGTCAAGGAATTCACAAGTGTATGAGGGATTGCCTGAAAAACCACCAGCAAGACTCAAATCCTCTTCTAAAGGTGACAATTTGTCATCTCAAGGTACTAAAATAAGCACTGAAACAAGCAAAGTACAGTTCTATGATCATCCAAATAGATTCCAGTATGAAAAAAACCTGCCAAGGGCTTCTTATGTGGAGAGAGTTCCTAGTGGAAGCTTACAGGTATGTCCTCATTAAATTTAATCAATATGATTTTTGAGCTTGTACAGGGTTGAATAAGATACCTAGCCACTAAAGGAACACTTTTATAGTGGTATAATTTTTGGAAATGTTCCAGAAGCTGAAAAAGGATACTGTGGTATAGGAAACCTTTTTTTATTGAACATTTTTCACAAGTCCAAAGAACCAAATGGAGGAAGCCTCATTTTTTCATTGTTTCATTTTATGAATTTGTTAAAAAAAAACTTTCAATATCTCAGGAGTTCCAAAAATTCAAATTCACCAAGAAATAAGCATAAATAATACATTCTTTTACTTTTCAAAAGAGATTTTCTCAGATAGTAGACTAATGCAAACTTATGGCAAAATTCAAAGGACTGATTATTAGTTATATTCACCTACTTTAAGGCTATGCCAAACGAAGTTTCTGAAGCAGAATGGTCTGAGCAAATAAAAAAACGTGATAAAGAAGCTCAGCTCAGAGGCAAACAAGCATTGGACAAGGAACGCATCCGAAAGCACTATGAGGAAATGATGAAAAAACTTCCACTCCTTCAAAAAAAAGAACGAATCGGCGAAATTTTCAATGACAAACCTGAATACCACATGTCAGAAGAGCGCTTGAAAGAAAAAGAACGTATCAGGCAAAACCACTTAGAGAATGCCTTTAATAAACGAATTCCTAATCTCAAACCTGTTCCAGTTACATTACCAAAGGTATTCAACGTTTATCTAACTATTTTCTAATTATTTTCTATTCACGGAAGTCGAGGTCACCATCTGACATTGCGATGACATGGAAACTACCGGAATACATGCCTAGCTTTCAATCAAAGCCAGGAGTTATGAATTCTTTTCCCGTAGCTTTCATGTCATCGTGACGCCAGATGATGATTGACTACCGCGAAAACAGGAATTGGATTGTCAAATTAATAGGTTCCGGCTGCCAGAGAAGATCCCCGGATGTTAGAATCGGGCTCCGTGCAATCTCTCAACGTCGCCGAATGGGACGTCGATTTTCAAGAACCGAAAACTTTCACTGCCCAAGAAGTGCAGGAAATAGTCAAGGTAGATATAGATATTTAGATGCCAATTTATTTCACGTTTTCACATATCCACAAACAATTACAGAAACATTTATATTATATTTTGCAATTTTAATTGAAAATGTTCGTTTCTCTAATTGGATAAGATGACAAATGACTATCCCTGTTTACATCTCGCATCCAACGACAGTGGCGGCCATTTTCACCGAAATACTTGCACTACCCTCCTCAGTAACAAATAAGTACTGTTTTTTTGAAATGAATTATGATAATACAATTGATACACACCAGTAATATAGAAACGAAAATATTATGTTGTTATTGTTGTTTCTCAATGACAAATGCCCATGGTGGTTGACCCTGTTGACATTTGACACAACTTCAATAACGTCAATAAGAACTGCCATATTGAAAATGGCCAATCAGAATCTGGTGTCGGTACTATAGCCAATGAGACTTCACCTTCACCGCATATCCCAATCAAATTTTGGATGTAAACATGAGCGCATGCGTTAAAAAATATATCTGAATGAAACGGCCTATTGGTCACAAAACTTGTAGCGAACATACAAGAAAGTCAACTTCAAAATACGAATTGTCTGACTTCCGAAAATATGGTCAATTGCGATATTCAATAGGCGTTCACCGACCAACGGCCCGAGGACAGACAGGCGAAGCTGAAGGAGCTGCTGCGGCACCTGAAGCTGCAGCGCGAGCAGCTGATCGAGGAGATCAGAGCGCTGCCACAGGACGACAGCGTCGATGAGCTGCTGAACGATCTGCGGTCGTTCGCTGAGGAGGAGGAGGAGGGGCGGCAAGGAGGGAAAGGTGGGAGGAGGGGTAGGGACAAGGCGGGACAGAAGAGGTACAGGGAGGAAAAGGACACGTCAGCGGAGAGTAGCTTGGACGGGAGTTCGTCGAATATGGCCGGTAGAGAGAAGAAAATTGGGTGAGTGATCTAGTTCTTGGCAATATATAGGCACAGCCGGCTCTATAACAAGCCGTGGTGAGAGAAATGCAACACCGCATCGCCGTGACTCGGAAGGTCTACTCTGGACTGGCTACCACAGCGACGGCGCTAACCGCGCTAACGTAACATCAATTTCTGTCTTTGACATGAATAATTGAACTTCAATGAAAAAATAGCAAGAAATAATGAGTCAGGTCACAGTTCACGTTTTATTCAGTTTATTGGATAAAATGAACAACAGGCAAGTCCCATTCAACATAAACTATTCAAGTTATTGCTTCCAGACATTTTCAAGTTGAAAGATAGTTGTTGCAATCCTAATGAGTTCATACACAGAATGAGATGTGTTGTATAACATACAGTTAATTTTGAATCTAGTTGCTTCCTGTATATTCCTCAATTGACTTGGTAATGAGTTGTAGAGAACGATTCCTGAATGAAAAATGGATTGTTTGCCGATATTTGACTTATACGTATTTGCTAGAAGTAAATTTGATAGTTTTGTTCCATGATTATGTAATGAATTAATTTAAATTCGAAATTTTCAATTTATATTAAACAAATTGAAGAGAACAACATATTTTAAGTGATATCAGATCTAATAATGGGATTAAGTCGAATGTCTCCGTTTGATTTCCACAGGGCAGGAAAATCTCCTAGAAAAAAAGCCAAGATGAAGAAATCCAGGCGACGGGTGCTTGTCCTGCAGAACACCAGCACCCAAACCACCCCCAAGCAGCTAGCAAAACCCCCCGGATCGCCCTCCACGGATTCCTCGGAACCTCGAGCGAAAACGACCGAGCCTCAGCCGGAAACATCCGAGAAACTTTGCGACCGACTGCACGTGCCGTGCGATTGCGACAAGGAGAACGGAAAGGAACCTTCGCAGGAACTGTGCCAGATCTTGATAAAATTGAGGGAGGACGATGAGCCTGACGTGGTGGTGACGTCGAGGGAGGCGAAGTCCGTGGGGGTGGGGACGGAGGGAAGTCCGGGTGGTTCCAAGGAGGCACCTCCGGGTGGTTTCAAGGAGGCACCTCCGGTGGTGAAGGCTAGGGTTCGCAAGGAGAAGCAGCCGTCCAAGCCGCCCACCAAACAGCCGACTACAGAAAGTTCTCGGTAAGGTGACTGTATAGCAGAATATAAGGGGTGTCCCAACAAGGGCTGCTCAAGAACCTACCACATATTCAATGGGGAAGTTTCCCATATTGAGGTTTTTATCTCACTGTGAAGTTTGTAAAAAATAAATATATACGATTTTTTTATTTTTTTCGTAAGATCAAATTTCACTTCAGAAAAAAATAAAAGAGGAACTTGGCTCCTCCACCATTCCTATGACGTACTATCTGAAAATCCACATTCACACAGAGTTAAAATACGATTCCCTGTGCCAGTACGACGTTGCCGATATCATCAATATGTCTAGCCTTCCGGAAATTGTTCTATCCGTCATTCGGTTGCCCCCTTACGAGCAACCCTCAGAAGTCTTCGAGAGTCTTGTCATTTTATGCAATCTTGATTACAGGGAAAGCTGTCGACCTATATTTCGAAAGCATAACTTGCTCACTTTTTACTCGATCTATATTTATCACTGTGTAATGTATACGAGAAGAAACCTACACAAGTTTCAAAAAAATTCATATAATAATGATCATTTTACGCGCAATAGAAATCTCTTGCATATACCTAGACACCGCACAAGCCTATATGAAAAGAGCCCTTCCTATATGGGGATAAAGTTTTTCAATCATCTGCCCATGTAAATAACTATGAATGAAAATCTCAACAAGTTCAAGAATGATCTCAAAAATTTTCTCATTTAGGGTTGTTTTTACAATACCTCTGAGTTTTTCAATGCAAATAACTGTGTCGCTACCTGTTCTGTGTGAAATGTATTATACTCTTTTATCTATTTTTTTTTGTTATATGTATCAACGTTGATTTATTTGACCTGTCCAATATTACTTTGTAATCTGAAGGATCAATAAATTATTATTATTATTATTATAATGAATTCGTTCCTTAATAAAACGGATCTATTTTCTAGGAAAGTTGCAGATTATATCTTGCAACAGCGCCTAATACTTCGAGTCTGTCCACACCACTTAAAATACTGACAGGCACAACAAGAGGAAGGAGCCATAGGTGTCGGCTGCATTCTGTTCTGACCGATGGCAGTAAATCATTGAATATAGCCGATTCAGGATCGAGCTCTATTTGAGATATTTTAATGCAAAAATAACATGACCATAACCTGTCTGAATGAAGCCAACAACCTTCTGCATTCCTGCTCAGAGTGCGTTTGTGGTTATGTATGTTTTTGTTTACCAGTTTCACTTCTTCTATTTTTTTCAATCTTTTTCCATTCGTTAGCTATTCGCTAGCTATATACTTCACCATCAGCTGTTTTCAGACTAGATTCAGAATGTACGTCACAGTTTGCCGCCGCAAAATTAGAAATTGCTTTAATTTGAAAATGAAAACGACTTGGACTTTATCGGTCGCCATTCTGTACAGCGTGGACATAAAACTGGAGAGTTCCTAACTTATTTTATGAAAATTCATCTAAAGGAAAGGTCCCCATTCAATACAATTCATTTATCCACCGTATTGATCTTCTTTACAGGACATTGGGTTTGTCATAGAAAATCCTTAAATTAAACATACATGACACAAGACCACAACACACAACTACAACTAATAATGATAGTACCTCATCCTATCTATAGATATAAATATAAAATGTATATAAAATTATACCTAGAAGTCGTCACCAAAGAACTCTGAGTGGGCATCGAGCAAGTTTGAAAGCCATTGGAAATCATTTCTCCACAAAAGTGCGCTCTTGAAATTCTCAGTGGACCACGCAAAACGCACTCAGTGCCGAATAAGTTCGAGCTAGTGCGACGAGTGGAAAACGCTATTAGACCAAAAGCTCCACACAATTGAACATACGCATTTCTGCTAGACGAGCAACACAAACGAACTGACCTATTATTTGACCACCAAACTAGTAAAGTGAATTCCACAGGTCGACATCAAAAACATGGAAAGACCAGCTGAGCAAGAACTCGATGTCGACAACCAGCACGTCTTACTTCAGCCCGCCGGACCTGCAAAAAACAAGAGACTCCCGAAAATCCTCCCTGCACCACTTGCGCAGGAAACCCCAGCAAGAGGAACTCTCGTCGGCGTACAACGAGTCACGTTACAGCGAAGGAACCCCGAGCGAAAAACCTCGAGATTCGAGGATATCCGAGTATATCGAAAAGTTGCTCGGCATGGCGAGAGGCAGCATCGAGAACCTCAGCGTTTCCGCTAGTGATGTGCAGACTCCTAGCCAAAGTGTTATCGAGATGGAAAGCAACAATCCTGGAGTTCCTGGTATGTTTGTAAAATTGAATATTTCGATCGTTCAAAAATATGAAAAAAAGTTTGTATTAACTTACCCACTAGAATGAATTTTCAAGTTACAGGGCGTTGAAATTAAAAAATAGTTTTTTTATCAATATCTCTGGGACCGTTCATCGCACAGAAACAGCTTTCGTAAACAATTTCTTTCAGTCATAATTGGTAAAGATCTTCAAGGGGTAGTAGGTGTTTTTCTCCCCAACTTCTACGCCACTGGAAGAATTCGCAATTTCGATTCTCAATAGAATATATCAGAATTTTTGAAATTTTTACATGCTTTGCTATATCAAACACCACAGAAACAAATGTGTATGCCCATGAAGTTGCTATATATTTTCTCTATGGACCTATATTCATATTTTTTCCAGCCCCTGATAAAAAATAGTTTGCCTCTGAAATCTAAATTTTCAGTTCATTCCGGATAGTATCCAGGCATTTTCAATTATAATAGATTTCATTCTTAAAAATTAAACCTCAATTCATACATATTTTAGTGGTGAAAAAGACATTTCTTCATAATTGCCTCATTTTTCATTTTGACTCTCTCATAATAAAACAGCAAGGTTCTCTTCTGAGGTCATAATTTTGATTCTTTATCATATACATGCTCCAAATTTCTGAAAACCCGTGCTGAAAAAAACTCGAATTTACTATATCTCCAAGAGTTTAACATTTATTTGAGGTGAGGTTGGCTGCAGAGGTGTCAAATGTCAAACTTGAATGAAGCCAGCTCCACTGTAAAAAATTATCGTATTTCTGTCAATTCAATGAAAATAATGTATAGAAGAGTTGAGATCAAACTGAGTCAAAGCTGTGGAAAGAAGATAAAAAGACGAATCGCCGTCACTCTTTGGAGGGGTATGCAAGAAAAAAAAAATCTTCACCTCTCAGACGGTTTGTTAGAGAATTATATATCCGAAAGTAATCGTCGGTTTAGGGAGAATGAACATCTCACTATTGCAGAAATGGAAAAACATATTGCCAAAAAAAATCATATTGCTCACCACATAAATGCTAGGAGTTTTCATTACATTTTTTCTCCATTGAACAGGTCTTATAACTGGTGATTGAGGTATGGAAAATATATATTTTCATTGAAAATTTTGACAAAAAATGAAAATACTGAATTCTATATTACACAAAAAATCAAAAGAACTGAAGGAATGATAATCATTAATACACTTATAGGGACTATTTACGATATCCTGAAGGCGTTTCCCTTCAAAATCAGCGACATAGCAGAAGGGCTCAGCTATTCCCCAGAACTGAGCCCTGCGCCACCGAACACCAGCGTCGCGCTGAGCATCTCCGGCGAGGGTAGTTCCAGAAGCAATTCCGGAATTCTCATCAATTCCAGGAGCAATTCCGGAATTCTGGTTTCGGGCAGGGACGGGTCGAGGGACTCCGTGTTGGCCCAGTACGCCGACATCACGGACTCTTGCAGCAAGAGGATAGAGGCGCTGGCGGCCATGATACAGCAGCTGCGCCAGGAGAAGATCCAGATGCTCCAGGTATTCATTTATTTTTCTGCAACCGACACGAAACTCTTCCATTTTGATACCAAAATTAGCCCTTGAATTGACTTTTCTATAACTGATACAAAAATAGGTATGTTGCTAGGCAACATATTTAGTTTCTAGGAGCAAAAGTTGAACTTTAGTTCCTAGGAGCTAAAGTTGAACTTCAGCTTCTAGGAACTAGAGAGGATGTACTAGATGTCATCAAGAATAAACAACATCGTTACGATTGGTTATTTGGGTTGGGACATATACCTGATTTGTTTCCGATTCCGGCAGATTTGGCATTTCATACCCATGCTGGAGATATAAATACACCTTATTATAGTTAAGTATAGGAACTATAAACATCTCAGTTAGGTATTTTCGTTTTGATAAGGGGAAGCCTTCAAGATTCACTTACTTGCTTGATCTGTATTTCATTCGTTATCCTCGGGATGGATAACTTGTTTTTGAATAATCACGGCAAGCAATAGTTTTTTGTCTCAAACAACGATATTGCTTACCTTCATGTGATTATCAAGTCAAACACAGTGTAGTATGGAGAGGAATGAATAATCGCTATTATTATTGTTGATATGCTCACTAACCTAACATTTTCCACGTTTTATTCTTCCTATACCTGGCACTGGCGCGGTATTTACCATTAGAGCACCTGGTCCATGCACAAATATGTCACTCTGTGGTTGTATTTATATTGAAACTACAATTCGAACATCTTTGAAAATTGACTAAACCTGCTGTTAATGCAGGTCGGCTTCGCTAAACGCTCCGCCTCGCAAATGCAAAATTCGCTTGTCAAACAAAGTGTCACTTTGGATTCTAATGAAACAATCTACTATTATTTATTCACACTGCTACATAAAATAGATTCCCAATCACAAAACAGCTATACTCAAATTCGCTCTATATTTTACTCTCACAACGACGTCCCCCATTCCTGAGTGCTGTGAGATAAGATGATTTCTTGGAAATATTATTATCGTTTTTGGAGTTTCTACTAATCAGCTTCTCTTCTAGGTACCAACAACAGAATCTAAATCGAAACCCGATAGTCCAGTGTTGAGCGACAGGGATTTTTCGACTAGATACTTGGACTTACCTGAACAGAAGGAGATGAGTAGAAGTACATCGAGCAGCAGTTTGGACGAGGAGGAGATTTACAAGAGACTGATGGAAATCGATCTCAGCTTAGCTAAGAAACTGAGACACTTCAGAACTACTGAAAAAGATACTGCAGGAACATCTTCAAGTAGGTGGAAGCTGGAATCTTCCATTTCCTCAGAATTTTTAGTGATTTTCTCTCCTTGTTTTTATAAATTATTATTTCAATATGATGAGGAAACAAGCAGAACTCGATTTGCAGACTACGCTATCAATTAGAATTTCCCATGTCACCTCGATGGTAACGTTCTTCGTTCATTACAGGCTCAAGAAAGGATCCCTCATCGCTTTCCAACACCAACGACGAGCTCTTCGACAGACTACAGCGCCTGAAACAGTCCGCCCCGCCATCTAATACCCTCCCCTCCACCCCATCGCAAAACCACGCCTTCGTCCAACCATCAGCCCCGCCGTCTAAAACCCTCCCCTCCACCTCTTCCCAGAACCACGCCTTCGTCCCCTTCCTGTCCGACATTCCCAAGCTGCCGAAGTTCGAGGCCACTCCCAACGGCGCTGCGGCCAATGGCAAGCGTCCGCCTCCCTCCAAAGGCCTGGCGGTCGCTAGGAGATTCAACGAGAACATTTCCATAGTACCTCATGAGCTGTCGACCATCGCGGAGGCTGACAGTCAGCTTTCGACAAAGATCGGTAGCAACGGGCCCAGTCCGAAGGCTTCGCTGAGCTTCTCCGAACTGAAAGACATCGATTTGGTGCTGATTCCTCCGCAAAAACCTGGGGAAAGAGTGACTGGAGAGTTGCAGAAAATAGAAGACACCAGCAGCCCCAAGCTGGTGTCTTCTTCCTTGGATGAGAGCGCTGGCAAGACATCTTCATCGCGCAGGGAGCAGAGCAGCTCTTCTCGAACGATGAAGACGGCTGAGGAATCTTCTTCCTTGAGGGGGTTGACGAGGGAATCTTCTTCTTCCGGTGATGACCTGGAGAATATCGAGTCAATGTTGAAGTCCATCGGCATGGAATGGGCGATTCCGACGCTGCACAAGACTCAGGAGGCTTTAGCGTTGACTTCCAGCTCCAGTTCGGATCTTAGCGCTAAAAGGAGGAGGAACGCGAGCAGCGAGAGTGAGGTCAGTTTGAGGGAGATGCTGAGGCAGCAGCTGCTGAGCAAGATCTCCTCTAGTACTTTGAAGACTGACGGTAGTCCGGTTAGTTTGTTGGGGGAGTTTTCCGATCTTTCGGCCATACATGGGGCCAATTCTAGCTTGGATAAGGAGAGACAGAGGACTTCTACTCCGGTGACTACGAGCAAAAGTGACAGTAAGTCGAAGTTGGTGTTTTCTGGGGATTCGGATTTGTCTTCGGTTAGGAACGAGCCTACGGGATCAAAGAAGAGTTAGGTGTAGCGGTGTCTTTCTAAAAGATGTTGAAATTTTTTTATAATATTTTATTGATTGATAATGGATTTTTATAATGATTATCTATTTAAAAATGATGTTTTAATTGAATAAATATATAGTTTCTGATATCCAAGTGTTTTTTTTTTGTTAACCAACGCTTCATAAAAGTTAGTACCTACCCGAGAGAGTCAAAATAAAGATCCTGAAAGAACATTTTTTTATGAGCAGTTTTTTGCTCGACGACGCTGGTGTGCACACTTCTCCCAACCAAAAAATTTGCTGAAATTTGAGATATGAAGACTGACGGTAGTCCGGCTAGTTTGTTGGGGGAGTTTTCCGATCTTTCGGCCATTCATGGGGCGAATTCTTGCTTGGATGAGGAGAGACAGAGGACTTCTACTCCGGTGACTACAGTAATTCGAAGTTGGTGTTTTCTGGGGATTCGGATTTGTCTTCGGTAAGGAACGAGCCCGCGGGATCAAAGAAGAGTTAGATGTAGCGGTGTCTTTCTAAAAGATGTTGAAATTTGTTATAATATTTTATTGATTGATGGTTGATTTTTATAATGATTATCTGTTTAAAAATGATTTCTCAATTGAATAAATATATAGTTTCTGATATCCAAGTGTTTTTTTGGTGTTTTCGGGGATCAGGATTTGTTTTCGGTTAGGAACGAGCCCACGAGGTCAAAGAAGACTTAGATGTAGCGGAAAAAGATGTTGAATATTTTTTATAATATTTTATTGATTTTTGTAATGATTATCTATTTAAAAATAATGTTTTACTTGAATAAATATATAGTATTTCTGATATCCGAGTATTTTTTTCTGTTAGCCAACGCTTCATCAGAGTTAGTACACAAGAGAGTCGAAATGACGATCCTGAAACAATTATTTTTCGTGATAAGTTTCCTGCTACAAAGGCTACGACGCTGTTGAGCACTTTTCTCTCAACCAGAAAATTTGCTGACATTTTTTATATTATAATCAGATTTTTTGAGTTCAACATCTATGGCTTCGACAAAAGACACCAGAACAAAACCTTCTAAAGAAGAAAGTATTGTATCTTCTACTGTTTTTTTTAAATTTTTTGACTTAGGTAAGATGCTGTGAAAAATCCTCTGTCTTCTTCTTTTTCTGACTGTTTCTTCTGGTTTTCTTCGGCACGTTTTGCACTTCCTGGAGGAATCCGAACATGAAGAGTACCTATGTACCTATAGGTTCTTTTATTCACCGGTGGCAACATATATTCTTTGGTGGATTCCAGTTCGGAATTTATTCTTTTATTATTTATTATTACTGTTGTGTGTTGTGTCAAAATTGCAAACCATTCCACCGATGTACAGAGATGGTGGAAGAATTTTGGTGGCTGACAGCGACGATATATATATCCTCAAAAAATTAAAAACAAAATATTGGATTTGAAAGCTGTTTGTCATTTGCCTAAGAAAAAATATAGGTGAATTAATCGAAACCAGTCCAGAACATGGAAATGAAAGAATAAGTTGCTGCATTATTGACACCAACAGAAATTTAAGAAATTTCAAGTGGTAGGTACTTTTTTCTGTCCCATCATGAATTTCAAGGAATTAGTGTAAACATTCAGAAAACTTGAGTACCATCTATATCATCAAAATTAAATGCAATGTTTTGTATATCGGTTGTTGAGAATTTTCAACTTATCTCGTCTACCCAACATAAACAATATTTCATCCTCGTATAACTATCAGAAGAACTGCTAGAACTTCTGGATCTGGAGACAACACTTTGAATACTTACATCATTCTCCATTTTACATTTGTTACGCCAATTCTGAGCTTCTAATTGAAAATAATGTTAATCACCATCAAATCACGAAAAGAAGAATAAAAAATGGAAAAAATCAGTTCTGATAGTCATGTCAAATAACTGCGTTTTTTTTAAAAACTGATGACTCCTATGACTCGAACAATTCGGTACATCAGACCAATATCAGACAGTGACTTCACTTACATCAATGATGAAAATGTGGTGTAAAAAAGAACATACCTTATTAATAATGAAATTTTTTCCAATCAATCATTATTCGATATCATATTGGAGAGTTGATGTCATTTCCGAAAGTATCGGAAGTTAATTTATCATTTATAAATATGTCAAAAAGTGCCGTCTAGTGAGCATATTCAATATTCCGAATTCTGTAGATATAGCTAGAGAAAGAAAGAAGCAAAGAATACGGTAGGTACCTATAGTGTTCATATCTGTAGAATTATTGGATTAGGTAGCTGGAACAGCATGAATGCCCTGTGTATTAATTCAACTTCAATTGCGCTTATCATTCATTGCATGACCCAATAATTTGTCTCGACCGAAGAAACTACGAAAGAGGTCTAATGGAAATCGGAAAAATCGTCTGCACATGTGCGACGATTGAGTCGATAATTCACCGTTTTCCCATAACCTTCAAAAATTTGTATACCCAATTCGAAAGTCGTTTTCAACAAATAACTGAATGAGCTAGTAGGTTTGATCTAGATATAATCGTGAACGTTAATGGAAAGTCTATTATCTATATATTTTACAGATTCCCGGAAGAAGATTTTACCCATTTACGTCTCTCATTTCGTGATTAAACGATATAGTGATGTATACTGGGTGATTATTATTTTTTTAATAAAGTGGGTGATCGATCTACAAGAAATATATAAGGTACGTACTGCATCCTAGTTTATATACTTTCCCCTACATGTTAGGGTACATAATTATAAATAATTATCGTTGGTTGGGTTTTTCATATTTTGTATATAATGTACGGAGCTTGGGAAAGTACTTCGGAATGAAAAATGTTCACTGAAACATCATTGTTTTGATTACAAATTGCAAAATAAAAGAGATAGTTCGACACCACAACGCCCTGTAGATACTCAACGAACCCTTCTAGGAATGTATGTTGAATTGAAGAAGCATATCTATGATAAGTATAAGAGTTGAAAACGTTCATAAAATTAGGATTGAAATATGGAGCAATCATTATTGGACTTAAAAATTATAAACATTCGACTCGATGATGTATATGATTGAATCACGAATGATAATGGAAGTATGAAATCATTCCACTGATACAAAATTAGAATCAATAACTGGTAATACTATGTGTACTATAATTATCAGCGATTTAGTGATCATAGTATTGTGTTTAAATCAGGTCCATACATGTTTCTGAAAAAAGTATAAATGTTCAGCACATCGATATGACACGAATATTCCCATGATATCAGATTCTCTCTGATTCTTTCAATCAACGAGAAGTCCCGAATATTGAACAAAAATCGAGAAAAAAAATCAAGTACGCTACTTTGAAACAATTTAAATGCTTGAACTCCACGTGGTTGTGCCTTCCGCATGGAAATTTGAACAGAGGTGACTTCTGAATTGCTACAGTGTAAACTTTATTGTTGCCACTCTATAGTATAGATCGAGATTTCTCAGCGCTTGGAATATTTGCACTACTCTCCACGCCACTCTGTATATCTGTTTTCTGAAGGCTCCCATCAAATTAGTGAGCACTCTCATTTTCAGATTTTTTTCAATAACGTTGCTATATTCTCTATCGTCTATTCTGTGCCCTCGATAAATTTTTAACGCATTCACCAAAACTTGAAATCGCTCTCGCCAAAATATGCACTTTCTCGCCATAATATGATTATATCGCATGCACCAATTATTGAAATCCAGTCGCGCAATGGAGAAGTCGGCAGTAATCCCTCCGATTTGCAAAGTCAACTTAACGAACCCTACTGGAAATGATGTTGAATTGAAAAATAATATGAAATAAGAATTGAAAACTTTTATAACAGTAAAAACATGAAACAATAATTATTGGACTAACAAATTATAAACATTCGACTCCTTATTTATATTGAAATCAAATCTCAAATCAGAATTAATAACTGCTAACACATAGTGTATCATACTTTTTTATCAGCGATCTAGTAATTATAGTAATGTGTTCAATTCAAGTCTGAATATTTGTATTCTGAAGGCTCCCAAATTAGTTAGCACTCTCTCATTTTTATTATTTTTCCATAACGTTTCGATATATTCTGTTTTTTTTATACTGTGCCCCTGAAAAAAATGACATTGATGGCTTATTGGCAATACCACGTAACATCTGATTTGTCAAAATCGTGATTTTCACGAATTTTTGATAGTTATCATGCATTGTGCAAAAGCACGTGGTTCTTGGACCATTAAAAATAATTAGTTTCATTGCCATAAGTATCATAAGTAATATTAAGATTCAGAAGTTTAATCACGATGTTCGGAGTACTCGAGATGTAGTGACATAATTATGAGAAGATATTCAGAACAGAGAGGTATTTTGCTGGACTATTTCACGTCCACGAAGCAAAAAACACATTTATTATAAATGAGCGATTCATTTCGACATCTACAGCTATAATCATATTATGTCTAATTGAAAGACTTTTTTTGCTATCCATTGTTACATTACACGATAACACAAGTTGTTTTTGGCTGGCGATCAGTCAGATTATGTGAAAATTTCAAGATGAGTGGAATAGTCAGAGTAATACCACGTATCGACCAAAGAAGAGATACCACCTATCAACCGAAAAAAATGGTCTTGAGCAATCAAGAAATCGTTCATTGCTTGAAATAGAATATTAACAAATTTATTCATCACACCACCCATAGTATCATTCTGATGGATATTACTCCTACATTCTTGCTATTGAAGTTGCATACATTTTGATATCCAAAACCCAAAAACATAGACATATCTGCTTCCTGAAAACTTGAAGAAACGTTAATACCTAAGTGTCATTGCCAGCAAAGGCGGATCTATGCACACCGCTTTTCCATTAATATGTAATTTCACAATCATTCACAATTTAACTAATAAGTTGAGAGTTGGAATTCCCATTCATTCATGTGTGCACCTGAATTGAATTTAATCTTTCATTAACTATTCGCTGAAAGATGACCAACTTTTATTTCTTGAAGACAAATACAAATGGAACTGTGACTTGCGCAGTCGTGATTCTGTCAGAAGTCAAACAAACAATTTCTTCCTCTTCTTTTTTCAAATTGAGGTGGAAAATTCTGAAAGTCATATGTTTAAATAAGACTGTGAAAACAATATGAATGAATGACTCTTATTGTAATTATTATGTGATCACTGAATGTTGTAACACAAATATTTTCATCGAGCTAAGTATACTGAGGACTATGTTTTGATCAAGAAAAAGAGTTCAAAATTTGAAAAGGTGTTGCATAAAGGTATCATAGTCCGTAAATAAAAACAAACTTTGATGACAGTTAATGAAAAGCAACAGATTAATAAAAAAGCGCTGTGCATAAATCCACCTTAAGCCATTCGACATGCTTATACCAAAACTTCAAATCGCTCTCGCCAAAAAATATTCACGCTCTCGCCATAATATGAATATAGCGCCTTCACCAATTATTGAATTCCAGTCGCTCAAATGGAAAAGTCGACCGTAATCCCACCGATTTGCAAGGCGAATCCCGACGGATCCATTAGCGGGGACCAAGAATGGTTGCGGAGGGCCGAAGAAGAGCTGGGAGAGACTCCGGAGGTTTTCCAGAGAGAGCTGGACGCTCTCAGAAGCATGCTGCAAAGTAGGAAATGTTTGATCGGAGTGTTTGAGGATGAGGATCTGGAACGTTCACCGCGAGATTCATCGCTAACAATATCTCTCCGCGGCCGCAATTACAGCTGTCACGGTTCCCATCTGCGTCTAGATTTACTCAGCAAATCGCTGTTCAGAATAGTTATTTATGTATCAAGAACGAAACACTGGCTATTATAGTCGAGTCTGCAAATTGATAGCCGAGGCTATAGCCGAGGCAAGCAATCAGGCGAGAAAATAGACAGGTTTTCGCCGAGGTGACTATGACGTCAAAACATTATCTATCAGTTGACAGAAAAATAACCTATTTCCATCAAAATAAAAACAAATAAAACAAACATTCTCATACAAAAATAATCATTATACAAATTCTCAACTCAAAAATACTCACAAATATCACATAATACAGTTACATAGGTACACTCGTCTTCAGAAAACATGACGCACATGGACGGTGTCGGCTCTCTAAATCACCACTGCAATAAGAGCGCTTACACCGTCCAACCTAGAAATGTTTTCTGAAGACGAGTGTACTTATAATATTCGAGTATATAAAAAACCGGAACGAATAGTGAAAATGACCAACCAAAATACAAAACAAATTTAAAAATTGAACGTGAGAAATAAACTGTTATAACAGAGGTATATGTACAGGGTGACCCACTTCTATAATGGAAACAACCCTGTATCCTATCCTAATCGTTGGGAAAGGATCCTGAAATTTGCTGGAGCGAGAGATATACCAAAAGTGCACTCTATGACTCGCTCTATGACCAAGTAGGGTCATCTTCAGTGATATACACTGCTCGCCAACAGCCATACATATAATTGGTAGCTAGAATTAATTTGAATGAATTAGTAGTAGTAGTAGTAGTTGTTATTGTTGTATCATTACGATGAATACTAGTGGGAAATTAGCATTCCGTGCGAGTAACACATTATACTTTTTCTACTGCTGTAACAGATGATCGATAGCGACATATTTTATTTTGTCGACTATCCGTCGTGCTCGAAGTGTCGCTCGTATTTTAGATACCTTAATAATCCACTTATATGTACTGTTGTAAGTTTATGCTGAAATAACTCGAAAATATCAATTCGTTATCCATGTTTGAAAAATGCTTTTTTCTATAATACGTACCCACTCATCCATTTGGAATTTACGTGCGATATCATTGAATGAGATTCTATTCTATACTACTTTGGCATTGACATTCAGGTGCATGATGGTGAACTTTCCAGATATCAATCGGAATTAATTTATTAGAGCATACAACTTCATGAATTTTCAGATGACACGAACATTAGAGTACCAGATCACGACAAATTTTTAGTGAGATTCCTCAGGGCCAGAAAATTCGATAGCAAAAAAGCTTTTCATATGGTGAGTTTGGTGGAAATATACAATATGGAGACAAATTTCACGTACGTCATGTCAAGGTTCCAGATTATTACCATTTGAGGACATACATTGAAAAATAATAAACTGTGAGCAAAAAATAGTCTCGCATTGGTATACCATTACCAGATGATCTAATCACAATCAGTATTGGATCCTTTTTATACTAGAAGATAGATCTTCGATTTCGATTTTTATAAGAACAATGAAGATTACAAAATTATTTTCAGCTTCGGCGGTATTATCTAATGAAAATCAAATGTCCAGAACTATTTGGATGTCCATTGCCTTCTCAGTCTGAAACGATGTTTCAACTACAAGCCCAAAATATGTTATCCCAAAGAGACCAACTAGGTAGAAGAGTGTACATAATAAGAGTAGGTGAGTACGAAAATTTGTTCATTCTTACCAGATGTACATAAAACAAGATTTTTTTTGATTTCGCACGTTGCAAAGAACGATTGCCAACTTCACAACTTGAGGAAAGTGATTTAAAGTTTAAAAAGGTACATGGCTGAATAATTATTCATGAAAACTGCAAATTATTTCATTCTATTTCAATTTCCATACATCATAAGATGAATAGAGGGTGACCCGAATTTAGCCTGTCCATACTTCAGTAGCAGATCCTTCGACCAAAGCTAGGAAGAAAAGTTACAATGAACATAAGTCGAGAAATGATCGATACGAAACAAGTACCCCTTTTTTCTGTGAAACGGTGTGAATTTTCATAATCCGAGATTGAATAGTCGAAAAATATGCATACGAAATAATTCGAGCAATATTTAATGTATTCCCACCCTGGATTAAACACTCCTGAAAGAAATTTTGGGATGATATCATTTCCATTGCATTAGGCATACCATTGCATTAGGCATAGAAAATTTAGTTCTTGTACCGGATTGCATCATTTTATAACATGCATGGGCTTTCGGAAATATTCAGGAAATATCATCTTCGGTAGCCCCTTTCAAGGAGGCCTTAGCTTCTTTAGGAAGCATTTTTCGACATTTATGTTTATTGAAACATTTCTTCCTATTTTTGGTTGAAGAATCTGCTACTGGAGTGTGGCTGGCTAATTTCCGGACACCCTGTCTTTACATATTATTATGAATCCTGTCAGAAATATTCAAGAAAAACTATCTTCAGGGCGCCTTTTTTCAACTGCCATATCCTCCTTAGGATTCGTTCTCCGACTTATATTTATTCGAATTTTTCCTCCATCAAATCGGTCGTTAAAGTCTCTGTAATCATCTAAATGAAATTCGAAAAATTACACAAATATCTTTCAGACAATTTCGATTCTTCGAAAGCTGCCATCGAAGAAGTCTTCAGGACCAACACCCTCGCCCTGGAAAACGCCGTTCGCGAGCCAGAGACCCAGATCGCCGGCCTGGTGGTCATTCTGGACATGGCCGGGCTCAGCCTGCAGCACGCCAAATTCTTCACACCCTACTACGCCAAGAAGATGGTCGAGCTGGTGCAGGAGACGTTCCCGTTGCGCTTCAAGGGCTTCCACATCGTCAACGAGCCCTTTTACTTCGACGCCGTCGTCGCGGTTCTCAAGCCCTTCCTCAAAGAGAAGATACGGAAGAGGGTGAGTTCACAGTGTATAGTCTCCTACCGGAAAGTGAGTTCCAGGAGGAATGGGTTTCCCTCTAATAATCCAATAGTTGTTTTATCAACTTTTCCGTATACCTCGCAATAACTTGTAATACCTCGCAATACTTCGAAATACTTCACAATAACTTGCAATATTTCGCAATAGCCTGCTATATCCTGGAATAACTCCAAATACCTCGTGATATCTCATTATGACTCGGAATATCTCGCGATACCTCGCAATACCTCGCAATTTGAAATTTTTGAAAAATCCTTCTGGTATTTTTTTTTTATCATCATTTTTTTCTCACCCGAGGAAGAAAAACTACTGTCATCGTGAAAATAGTAGATTGTTTTATTAGGATCAAAAGTGACACTTTGTTTGACAAGCGAATTTTGCATTTGCGAGTCGAACAAAGTCACTTTTGATCCGAATGAAACATGCTACTTTTTCTGCAACCGAAACAATTAACTCAAATAAACATGTGAAGTAACCACCAATGCCGTGCCATATGTATGCAATGCAACAAATATTGACAAATAATCCATGTGGTGGGAATAATCTACCAGCATTAACAGCAGGTTAGGTTTTCTAGGATGTTCGAATTGTAGTTTCAATATGAATACAACCACAGAGTGACATATTTGTGTATGTACCAGGTGCTCTAATGGCAAATACCGCGCCAGTGCCAGCTATAGGAACAAGACCTGGAAAATGTTAGGTTAGTGAGCATATCAACAATGATAATAGTGATTATTTATTCATCTCCTTACTCCACTGCGTTTGACTTGATAATCAAATGAAGCTAAACAATATCGTTGTTTGAGACAAAAAAACTATTGCTTGCCGTGATTATTCAAAAACAAGTTATCTATCCCGAGAATAACGAATGAAATACAGATCAAGCAAGTATTTGAATCTTGAAGTCTTCCCTGATCAAAACAAAAATACTTGACTGAGATGTTTATAATTCCAATACTAAACTATAATGAGGTGTATTAATATCTCCAGCATGGGTATGAAATGCCAAATCTGCTGAAATCGGAAACAAATCAGGTATGCGTCTCAACCCAAATAACCAACCGTCACAATGTTGTTTATTCTTGATGACGCCCAGTACATCCTTTTTAGTTCCTAGGAGCTAAAGTTCAACTTCAGCTCCTAGGAACTAAAATTCAACTTTAGCTCCTAGGAACTAAATATGTTGCCTAGCAACATACCTATTTTTGTGTCAGTAATGGAAACGTCAATTTAAGAGCTAATTTTGGTATCAAAATGGACGACTTTTGTGTCGGTTGCAGAAAAAAATATTTATAGAGGAAACTGCAGGACCCTAATATATAACTATCTCCATTCTCATTTCAAAGAAAAATAAAATATATGAAAACTTCTGATCCAATAATATAGACATTATACTCTCTTCTCTTGCATAGACGTACCAAAATTGATATCACGGACGAGATCCTGCTGAATCCTCCTGACGTCATCTTTTATCCCTTTGTCGGAAGTTGGGCGCATTTTCGAAACGCAGCTCTGTCCTATTTACTCTTGTGAAACTTGAGCCAGCAATTCAGAAATTGTAACAAAATATTGCAAGTCACATGATAAACAAAAAAGAAGTAACAAAATATTGCATTTGATATGATAAACAAAAAAAAAGGCAACGGCACGCGGTGTTCCCAAGCGGTCACCCATCCAAGTACTAACCGCGCCCGACGTTGCTTGACTTCCACGATCAGACGAGTGTGGGTATATTTCAACGTGGTATGGTCGTTGCCTGAAAATTCCAAGTGGTCAGGTAGGTATTTGAAGGTTATAATGAGAAATGAAAAATTCATCAAATAATTCTAAAAGTTTCACAACTGATGAACTAACTAACACCAAAATGGTACTTATCCCGCGAAAACACCAAATCTAAATTTACTACTTATTCTATCCGGTAGGATAAAATAAAGCTTAAAATGTAGCATAGCATTCGCCTATGGCGCATGCTGCAAACTTCATTCTAGTAAAAAATCACTATCATTACGTGCTCGTTGAACAATATAGTAATTTTGTATTCCAGATAATTCTACATGGCAGTGACATATCTTCTCTTCATGCTTTCGTTCCCATTGACATTCTGCCTACAGAGTATGGTGGTACTGCCGGAAGTTTTGACAACAGGCCCTGGTACATGGAAATGCTGGCAGAAGAAAATTATTTCAAGGAATTGCAAACTTTCGGGTATATTATGGAAGTTGAAGATGATCAAACTGATGGAGAATAGTGTCCGTTTCAAGGACTGTTAATTCTCTGTGATCAATATCATAATGATTGTTACAACAGTGCGTTGATATACATACGTTGAGCTAATGTCAGCGCAATGAGATGTTTTAGTTTTTTAAGCTTTATAAGTGTTGAATATGGTGTAGGAGCATAAATAATAAATATATGTATTTGTTGAACGAGAATAAATCGACTCACATTCATATTATCTCCGATTCATTTCATCCAATTTCATATAATGCGAGTAAAAATACAAACATTTTGATATTCATTCATTAACCTTGCAACCCGAAGTCCAGACCTGGATTTTTATTTCAACTATTCATGAATGAGTCGACCATCACTAGTGAAATAAGTACTCAGGCGAACTATGGAATGGATTTGGTTGAACCACCACGGAGAAAAATTCATATAAGTAGTAAGTAGGTACCTACATATAGAAAAAAAAGTAGGTAGGTACTGACCCTAGTTCAGGTTATACTGGTTATAGTATGTATGTTTCATATTGAAACACCCTGTATACATGAAGAGGTAGGTACAATATTTCCATTTGTACACGTGGAAATGATGAAAAGGTATTTTGAAATACAGACAGGTTCAGCAGATATGATATATCTAGAAGTGCACCATAACTTGAATACCAAAGGAAACAGAAAGTGGTTGTTTCAAATTCTGGACTAGGCCATTCCAGTCATTTCAACAAAAAATGTTTCTTGAAATATATGGCTCTGGAATACCTTGAAATACTTTTTTGATACTTTATTTCCTTCAATTTATCGTGAAAAAATTATTGAGAACGCCAAAAATCAACGAGCTAATTCAAACGATCAGACATGGCCGCGAAACGTGTGACGTCATTGCGCGAGCAATTCAGATTGGTGATTTCTGGCCTTCTTGAGGGTGCCGATAAAATGCACGATGGACTTGACGATGTTGCCAATTCGAACAGAAAGCTGTGATTGGTCGGATATTCATTTTTCGATTTTTTCATTTAAACTAACAATACAGATGCTGTTTGTTATATAATATATTTATTATTTAGGAACCTATATGGCATAAGAAAAATAGGAGCATCTGTGGTTGTTGATTGTCATTTGATTTGTCAAATAAAAATTGGTATGAAGATACAGTTTTTGAGAATAAAAGAATAATAATTATAACATGGCGCAGTCGATGCAGTGAGAATCGTTGAAAAAAATATTGACTATGGCTTTGAATTTCTATATTTCACCACCTCTCCAGCTGTATGGAAATTTGAACGGGCATTGGTTTAGTTCCAAACAAGCTTTTCAAATATATCTTGTCGCATCTGCTTTCGATAAAGAAACCAAAGAAAGGCAAGTAGCAATATTTCTCAATGTTGTTCGACAAGAATCAGTGAAGCTATTCAATTCATTGAAGTTGAAGGATGAGGAGAAGAAAGACATTGATGAAGTTTTGAAAGCTTTTGAAATATATCTTGTCGCATCTCATAACTATACTCACCTGAAAATTTGTGGTAATAAAGATTTGCATTGCATGATTAGTCTGTTGGTTGATTTCTGTTGGAGAATTATTCAATATTGTGCGTGAAATTTCATTTTGTGTTGAATTATAGTGCAAATATTCATGCTATTCAGTTTTAAAACCCTACCAATGAAGTACTTTTATGTACCTACCTATACCTATCTCCCATAGGCAAAGAAACAAAATTCTGAATCAATCAATACTGAACTGCTTTTTTCTATTCCAATTGATTTGAGTACAAGCATCACTGCTTTTTTGTCAATAATATTGAGAAATAAGAACAGTGAAGTTATTCGAGGAATGAGTTATTTTTAACTTGGCAACATTGTGTTAGCGCCAGTTGCTTCATCTCTTTCCCTGTACCAATCACAATCCTGAGAAAAGAATATTGAAAAACTGCCCTTTCCTGTGCGGAATTTTGCACTCGATTTCGCGATTTGATAACGAGGTAAGAATTTTGACATTCGATACCAGTTGAATGGTAGAATCTTTATAAAGATACTCTGTATAGATTCTATCATTCAAGACCTCTGAATGGATAAAAAACATCAATTCTGTATGTTTCAATCAATAATAACCTCTTACACATCTATTGTTGATTTAAGCAACTATTTGAACCATCACTGTATAATGAAAATTTTATAGCCTGACATTTATTCTTGTTCTCTATCATCAAAGTTTTATGATAGAGAATTATATTTTTCCTCATAAATTATACCACTTGATAAACTACTGTTGATAGAGATGTTTATGAAATATCCAGAGTAGAAAAGCACGTCAGAGGTTTATGACATGTAGTAAGTACCTGTAAGAATGGATTTCCGAGAACAATAAAGAAAAACTTCAGTTTAGTTTGAGAGAGTGAAGGAAACAAATGCTATGGTGAATATTTGTTCTAGCTGCATACACGTAACTGATCAATCAAATGAAGAAAATTTTGTATTTAGTGTAAACATCATTATGGTACAAACGCTAATATACAGGGTGTTACCTAATTGAATGTCAATATTTGAGCTCGATTCTCGGGCCCATTCTGAAAAGCAAATTCCATATGAACATATGACCTAAACGTCTTAACTTTTCAGATACAGGTTGGTGAAGTTCTCAAAACTAAATAGTCATTTATCAATATCTGTAATACCACTTGATTTGATCTCCTGAATTGTTTCAGTCTGAATCACGGTTTTCACCTAAAATATAAAATATATTTCTCTGCGTTGTGATATCGTCGTTATGATCATGCAGTGAGGTTTTTATTTTTTCCAGCGAAAACCGTGCATCAGATTGAATAAATTGTACCTAGGGATCAAATTTGCTTAGAAATGATTGGGAATTTCTGGAATGATTTCAATTTCGAAATTAATTAGTGGCGTGCCATCAAGTTATGTGAAATTCCATACGAACGCCACTGGTGGCAAAAAAAACTATGATACACTACCTGCTGCCTCTTGAAACATAGTACATATATGCTAAATTGCATCAGAATATCTAAAGTCGTATTACAGATATTAATAAAAAACTTTTTATTTCTGAGAACTCTACCACCCTGTATCTCCAATGTAGTAACGTTCATACGTTCATATGAAATTTTCTTCTTAAAATGGTCTCAAGAATCGCCTCCTCAGGAAACACCCTGTATACTCATTTGTTTGATGTATGTCAGTTCCTACTACCGTTTGTACCATAATGATGCCGTCGAATAAATTTTGGGCATTTTTGTAAGTACTTGAAGAATATACCACTTATGATGACTTATTAGCCGAAAGCGATCTAATTTATAATAAAATTTTACACGAAATACAGAATTTTCTTCATTTGATTCAAAAAAATACTGACATGGTAATATCATAGAAAACTTCAAAACGCCAATCATAATTCAGTAAGTAGGTATATCCCTCAATTTATATTAGACGGATTCAAATGTATCTCCTCTTCTATCCCTCATCTGTTGTATAACTTGATTAGTTAGTAATATCATCAGACCTACTCTAATCAAAACCATAATCCACTCATTCGGAGAATGTTCCAGCCTGCGTTTACCCCAAATATAAACTAATAAACAAAGAAAATGACACATCAGATAATTCGATTCATTTGAAAACGTTATTGGCGGATTTCAAGGTCATCATCTGACGTTGCGATGACATTCAGCAAGGGAGAGAACATTTCTAACTAGATTGGGGGTCAGATATATTTATTCTATCGCTTGATGTCATTACAACGTCAAATGATGTCCTTGAAATTCGCCAATGATATGACATTGTATTGATTGGAACAATCTGAATTTGATTGTTCGTATCTAATGATACTTATATTTTCATTAACAGATACGAGGATAGGACATCTCAAATATCTAGAGAAAATGCACACAAAGTATATAAACTTCGTTGACATAAAAATGAGAAACTAATTTTTTCAGTACATCTTGAATAGTGGCAAATATCGAATCACAATGGAGTGTTTCTGAAATATCGGTCATAAATTTCCATTTCAATTTGTTATGGATGACAAAAAATCTTTCCTTATACATCAACTTTAGTGTTGATTGATCATGGATCACTCTGTATAAAAAATGAGATGAACTCAGGGCCGGTTCACTGACATATATCTCGAACCAGAAGGAGGTTGTAGATGGTAGGTAATGTGATATTGAAAATATTCAACCTCATATACTATTCATTATTCCAAATTTTTTGGAATTTTCTCTCTTCGTTTCTATAAAATAAAAATATGAATATTATTTCAATACACGTTTAGTAAGGAAAAATCAGATGATTTGCCCCAAAATTTTCCTATCAGAGAGCCAAAATTAAAAATTCACTAGCTTGTCAGTGACAATTTGTATTGAAAAAAGTTTGATGAAGCCTATCTTTGGACGTTTCGGGACCGAATCTGCTCCCGTTTTCAACACAAAAAATGGTTATTTTAATAGCAAAGTCATATCTGCCTTGAAACTTTTCAGTGCTCAGTGAAAATTATTGGTGACGTTGACAAGCTAGTGGATTTTTCTTTGAGACTCTGATTTGTCCTTACAACACGTATATTGTAATAATATTAATATTTTAATTTCATAGAAACGAGGAGAGAAAATCCCAAAAACTTTGGAATAATGAATGTACTTATATACTATTATACAAAGTGTTACACTTTTCGAGAAATCATCGCTTAAAGATTCGAAGTTGGATGTTATAGAAAATTGTTTTTTGACGAGCCAAAACATTTTCTTATCACATTTGAATTCCATAACGTATTCAATACTTTTGAAGAAAATAAAAAGAAATAATCAGATATCTAAATTTCATGCGGTCCTTATCAACTGTGGGCCAGTTTATCGGCAGCTGCTGGAGAGAAGAATTTGCCAATTGGGATTTCAGGATGGGAAGGAGTTACGGGGAGGAAATGAAGGTTTTGACCGAGAAACGCGGTTTGATACAGTCGATTTTCGCCTGCCGCTGTTCCAATTTAGTGTCTCGTTTTTGGTAGACTTGAGAATTTAAATGGGTCAGTAAACAAAAATCAGAAACAGAAAAAATACATTCGAATATCTTCAGGTAAAGTACAATTAGTTGTAACGAACTTATAGTTTCAGTCAATGAATGATATTTCGATAGTATAACTCCACAGCCGATCTATAACAAGCCGGGGTGAGAGAAATGCAACACCGCATCGCCAAGGCGACATAGGCAACAAAGACAAGCTCCAAGTCATGGATGCAAACCCAATCCCAAGAATTTGGGAACCATTCGCCAGGAATAAAACATGAATAGATCTTCAACTGAGTCAAAATATACACAACTAGGATATAAGAGCAATACTCTTTTTACCTTGTTACATTCTCACTACTGAGATCAATTGAGTTAGAAGGAGGTGAGACGGATCTGAGTTGTCGATTGAATAAAACGAAAACGTTCTTATCTGTCAGGAAAGGAAAGGGAAGAAAACATAACCCAACATAATTCAACCAAAATGTAAAATGGCTGAGGACATTAATGAGGAGCATAGAAATATTATTGTAGTCAGTATTCAAAGGATTTAAGCATGTCAAAATGAAAATATAACCTCACAATTTTCAGCACAGAACCACAAAATTACTCGAATTATTCCAGTCTCACCTTTATCTCACTACAAAACCAGATGAATAGCAAGATCAGTTGGGGTGAGGGGAAAAAATAGTCTCAATAACTTCTCAAGGCAACTCACATCAGACTAAGATAAATGATACATGTTATACAACTGAGCTATTGAGCTGCACTGAGTATCTTGGTTAATCCCAGTCAAAGTTGGTCAACAAAATATCACTATGCTCAATGGACATTGGAATATGATAGGTCTTGTAGAAGAACTGCTGTGCAGGTTTCGCCAGAATGATTGAGAAACAGCTGTAGAAACTTCATGCTACTATGAGGCCTCGTCTGATGTTTCTAACGTTGATAAAAGAAGAATCAAGAGCGTCATGATCACGGAAGATCTGAAAGCTAACCTATGTATTCTCATGAATGAAACGGAGATAGATGAGGAACTCTCAAAGATTTCAAAGACAAACACAATTTAACCGAGAAGGCCTCAGTTTAGTAGTTAATTGGTCATTTGTTTCAATCATTTGAAATGATCTGTGGCAAAAGTCCATGTCAGTTTCAGATGATGTGAAATAATTGAAGGAAAGTGGGAATGCTGAAAGTCAGTTCCTCACTATTGTATCAAGATAACTTTCAGCTTCTCTTCTACCCTCAATGGGATCTAACTCTTTTGGAATGAGTTCGTATTTTTTAAATAGCTTCATCATCACATTTCCAATGAATAGCTTTGCTCTTCATACACATTTGTCATCATCAGCAATGATATCGATTGAAGTTTCTTGTTGTTGAAATGAAGCTTCATCCAAGGGTTCGTGTTCGTGTTCGTGTTCTTGTTCGTGTTCGTTTTCCTGTTCGTACAATATCTATTCATTTGCGACAACTAATGTAGAATTCACAGCAGAATCTGAATATTATTTGCGACAATAGTCTCATCAACGATAGATGGAATGAGTTAGTGCTCCAAGTAGAGTTATCATAGCGATGTCTATGTGTTATGAACACTGACTAGCTTCATAATAGTGGCCAACGAAGCTGAGTTGTGATTCTATCTAAGGCTAAGTTATTCAATCGAAACAAAAAGGCCTTTCCATGCATAAAGAGGTCCCCTATCGTACAATTTTTTTGTCTTATTTGACCTGTAACGGCTTTTCTTAGTGTTGCCCGTACTATGACTCGCTGAGGGGTGTTCTTTTCGGCAGTCGCCCGTCTTACCCCTTTCGCGGCTGCGCCCCAGCCGTCCCGCTCAACTTCAATGGAACGCTCCGGGAAGGACCCCCTCGGCTCCGGGAAGCAGTCAGCTTACTCCGGTCACCGGAATCGGTCCGGGTCGATATGCTCGTTCAGACTGCGGCCGGCTAGGATGTGATGAGTGAGTTGACGCGTGATGCGTGGGGTTCTGAGGATATTTGGGGGGAAAAAGGTTTGGGGGGATAGAGGCATGCGGGGGTTTTGTCTGGAAGGAGGAATATAGGGTTTCGGTTTCTGGAGGAAGTTCTCCATAGGATTTTACTATATTTGGGAATGAATATGTTTTGTTTTTCCGTATAAATAGTTATTCTGCTGTGACGGGAAAAAAGAGACAATTCGTCTCTGTTGACAGGTTACAAAATGTCACTTTTCATAATTCTCTTGTTTCCCACGGGGAAAAAAGTGAGTACTTTTTTCCCGGATATATACAGTGTGTGCGATTTAAACCCGCAACACCCTCCTTATTCGGAATCTGTAGACCGATTTCCAAAAACAAAAATTCCAGAATATACTACTCAACGAGCTCTATTCGAAAATGTGAACGAATTCGAAATATTCAGATTCTCACGGTCTAATTTTGTTTGTTCAAGAGATTGAAATTTCAAAATCGACTATCAGGCATTTTTTTGTCGATACTGCGACAAGCCTATTCGATATAGGCATAGCTCAAATACCTCCATACGAAATGTCATATAGCGTGTTATTTATTCACTGGCAAATTATGATATTTTTGATTTTTCGATTCACCCTGTATCAAAATCTAAGCAATTGATATAACCGGTGAAATGATCATTCAATGAAGAAACACATCGGATACTAAGATACGAAGTTTCATCATGGTGACTTCTACAGGAAGATCTCCCTTGGTGAACCAAATATTAATTAAATTGAAGTTGACAAATTTTTTATTATGATCCATATCTTTTTTTCCTGGAAATATAAAGAATGGTAACTTATTCCAAGAGATATTCTCTATACATAACAATTTCCATTGTCATCCCGAATTTCCTTTCCAAAATCGGTATTATGATCACTTTAAGTATCAGTAAATCTCCTTGCAATCTTAGGCAAGTGTTTTTCTGTCATTCTATTTGTGTTATATTTGACAGTTCTTCATCAATCGAGGCGATTTTCAAAGTTACTGTGCGATGACTGTGATGACGTGTGTGAAAAACGGTTTACTTGAGTTTTCAAAATGGTGAACCAAACTTAAATTTTATTGATTTTTGGTTGACCTACAGAAAGATCGTCCTGAAGTTACAACGATGGAACTTCGTATCCAAGTATTCAACGTGTTTCTCCATCGAATGAGTACTTCACCAGTTATATCAAATTATTAGATTTTGAAAAGGGGTCAATCAAAAAATCAAAAATATCGAAGTTTGCCATCGAGTAACTAACACCCAATATGAGATTTTGCGTTCAAATTTCGTATGGGGGTTTTTGAGCTATGTCTGAATTGAATGGACTAGTCACTGTTTCGACAAAAAATTGCCTAACAGTCGTTTCAAAATTGTGTTCCATACACGGGAAAGATATTAGATTTCAGCTAGAGCTGAAATCTATTACTAATCCTTTTTGTATAATAAATAACTATTTAAAGAGATCAAAAAACCCAGTTTTCTCCACAAGTTTACTGGTAAAATGTGCAGTCAATTCTGCTTCATTCCCTTTGCATTAGACATGTTTCGACCATTCAAATGATCATCATCAGTCATAGTAATTTCATCAACTTCATTAGTTGACTAGTGAAACAGAATTGACTGCAAATATCTCCAGTAAACTTGTGGAGACGACTTTGAGTTTTTTTATCTCGTTGATCATCCTCCTCCACTCCGAGTACATGGACTACTTAAGAAGAAATTACTATATATTTATTATACAAGGAAAAAAAGTGATAGATTTCAGCTCGATGTTGTATTTACTCCCGACGCGTATAGTGGAGGGAGACAAAAAACCGTGAACCGTGAGATAAATTCTAATATTTGTTCCATGTATAATAGCTATTTTTCTCTGTGACAGGAAAAAGAACGAATTGTTATTGCAAAGATTTTACATTTTATTAAAATCATAAAATTATCGACGTGAAATTTGAAGTTTTAACAGGAATCACACCTGCGTTGCAGGCATCATTTTGCAGGCATCTTTATCATTCTTTTGAAGTAATCAAATATCTATCAGTCTAATACTGTGATTTGATTTCAAAAAATTGTGAAAACATCAGTGGTTGTTTAGCAATTTACGTAACCGTGAAGTGCAATGGAATATAAAAGAACTTGCAGTTCTTCCCCAGAGATGATGTTATTGGCTTATTTTCAAGAATTAACACAAAAAAATTACATATTATAACCTGTCAACAGAGATGAAATGTCAAGTTTTATTTCCGTCACAGAAAAAAATTTATATCAAATACATAGTGGATGACTGCAAACATATATCTAGCGCTGCATAGAAGTATCAACAGTAATTACACAAGTGGTGGTAATTTTTTGATAACTTAAACTAGATAAATGAATCTTTGTTGCTATAGAAATTTCACGAGCGAACAAAGTCCACGAGTGGGATTTTTGAATAGAAACAAAGACGAGTGCTGATCTAGTTAAAATTTGAAAAAAATATCACCACGAATGTAATTCGGCATGATTAATTCATTCACGAAGATCCAAACGTAAAAAAAAATATCGCTATTATTTGCTACTGACAAATAATCAGTATGATACCAAATGATTGGCTATAATTACGCATCGATATTGGTTGAATCAACTAAATCAGAAGAATCATGAGAATTTATTCATCTCTCGATTAAGACAATTCCACAATGTTTCTCCTTATATTTCTTGTGGCTCTGGACTTTTAAAAAGACCTCTCCAATTGATCATACAAATTCTTTCAAGAGATTTCTCAGAAATAGATAGTTAACTGGACATTAATCAATGCAGTTCAGTATACTTTACGGAAGCACTGAGTGTTGAGACATGAAATTCTTTAATCATTCGAAATTCATCAACGATATCTCTATGGAAATCTTTGTCCCATTACAAGTACTCATTCAATTCAATCGCCGATTCAATTTTTTTTACAACCAAATTTGCATTCGCCAAGGATGTCTGGAAAGTCATATGATGATGTGATAATGCTCTTCCCAGTTACTATACAAATAAAAATGCAGTGCACTTTTGATTAGAAATATGTACATCTTCAAAAGAATAAGTCATAACACATAGAGGAAGTAAACCTGTTCATTCATCATAATCACACTGTTGTATTTCAGTTAGTGTACAGTTTTCATTACCAACAAGTGATTTGTAACATATTTCAACTGAACTCTTTCATTCTATCAAATCGACGATTATTTCAAATGGGAAGGTATGCTTCCTGTTGATTTTTCTGTTTCCTCAGGGTTTTTTCTTAACAAGGGTCCTATACACAGAGCATATTTTACTGGCCACAATGAGTTATATCGACCGTAATAAAGTTTTTCTTCGTGTATAATAACAAATGAAGAACTCGAATTGTCTTGCACAAATTCATTCGAAATACGGGTTTATATTTGGGGGATTCGAATATTGAATGAGAAGTATGAGATAATGAATATTTTTGTATTCCAAAGATATTAGTTTCCTATTCTTACTGAATCGTGTGAGATATTCAATATTCAATTGATTATTGATGTGAGATTCATGCTGATTAGGGATCAGAGAAATGCATGACACATTCACATTTATACAGAATTTGCAGCTATTACAAAAATATCATTGGGAGATGTGCCATATTCTCTATCACCATTGCTTATTTGAAAAATCAATTCTTGATAGAATTTCCTACTTTTATTATCTGCCTGCTTTTCATTCATATATATCCATTCGATTTATCTTAAAATTTGTTATTGTACCTCATATTTTTTTACCTTGTGTATGGATTCCTGTTGGAAGGTGTTTAACGAAAACAAAAAAAAACTTTGAATCTATGATCCGATAAAATGTTCATGGAAAATTCTATCTATACTATCTTCTCTAATGCTGCAAACACGAATCCCAAAGGTTTATATTCGATTGAAAGAGCTTCACATGCAATAAAGAATTCATAGTTAGATACTCGATGAATGTATCAGACCCTATAAATCGAAAAAGACATGAAATACTTTGTTTGTGAATGATTGAACTTCGTACGACCATGAACTGAAAATATTGATTCTTGTCTATAAATCAATGAAGATATTTTTCCACCATCTATACACACATTCAATATTCGATAGGAAATAGTATATTATGTAACAAGTGGTATAAAGGTCCTTTCAGAAACGAGTAAGTACCTATCTAAAACATTCTCTTCGATTTCAATTTCGTCTACATTTTGCATACATTTTTAATGAATAATTCTGATCGCCACCTATTTCAAATTGCAACAAACTCCCGAAATTACATAGTTGACAGTTCCTACAATTGATAGGCCGGGCAGGACTCAAACGACTGAAGGTGTGTTCAAAAAACTGTGTTGCCATGGTAATGTGTTCAAGAAATTGTTACCGTGCTTATTTTTTTTTGAATAAATCACAGCTCGTCAATCCTTAATTATAATCGATCATTTGGCGGGGTACATATTCGTACCCTAAATGCCATTCTGGTCATGTGAGTAGAATATATATTTTCTGCATGAGAACATAACAGCTCTGTCATAAGACTTTTGAAAAAGTATTTTTTACTGAGCGTAATCAAACTTTATCCCGGAAAGCAATTTCCTTGAGAGCAGAATCCGTCACCATGCCGCTATTCCGTTCTTCTCGAATGGCCAATTGTTTCTATTTCCCGAGAAAACTCGATTTCCATTAGAGAGGCGAGACTTCTTTCCCTCATGGCTACTAAAACCCCTTCATAAAAAAATCCACACGATCAGAATTGAACTTACTCAAGTCTTGCATCACTCATATAATTTTTGAAAATTGAATGACATGATTCACTAGGAATATTACTTTATCTGGTCCTCAGAATGATATCATCAGGAAATAATCTATAAGGATATTTTCGAAACCTCACAGCGTTGCTTGAGTAGGTATATAATAAGAAACCGCAGGCAATGCAACAATATCGGTTGAGGAAGGGATAATTAAATTGAAATATCTGA